AATTGAGATAATTAAAAATTATTCAGATATTTATAATTATTTTATATTACATCTTAAAAATATACAAATATAAATAAAAAATATTTATAATGCTTTCTAATATAAAATTGATAACTTAACGAAAATAATTTATTTGTTAATATATGTAAAATTATTAATTAAATTTCTCTACACACACAAATAGACAGACATTGTGCGTAGAAATTATCATGAAAATCGCCGATAACAGGAAATACGGACCATTGAACCGTAATTTCCTTAAACGACGGATAATGTTCAGCGAGGAGATTCAAATCCGTGTCGTTATCGATCTAAACTTCGTGGCGGACAAAGTGCAAGCCCTCGATTTTAAAGCGAACGAAACGACACCGAGTCGTCACGAGGAAATTCGTTACTTTGACGATCGTTTCCATCGAAGTTCTTTCCAACGGCGTACAATGAAATGAATCACGTTGCCGTTATAGGCAATCGTTTGCGATTCATTTAACTTGCTAAGAGATTCTTTCCGGTAACGTCGCGGTACGTTTAGAGTGTCATTCGGGAAAAGAAATTTTCTCTGAGAGGAGACTCATTTTCGACATGCCTCGTAGTTGAGCGCAGTTCGCGGATTTCCATTCCACTTTCCTTACTCAAGTTTGTCGACTAGCGATCGTTAACACTCTCGTAATCGTTGTCGCGAATACGCACCGTGAAACCAAATGGCGTGCACATCGGCCCACTCGAACATTTTGTTTATGATATTTCTCCTCAATTTCGCTCTATTCTGAATGCACAATTTGCACGAGAATTTCAGTTTGCGTTACAAATATAATTATAGTATTTACTTTATTATACATTTATGATATTCTGCCATATAAAAAACAACTTAAAATAAATTTGCACATTATGTGATTGTTATAATTTATTTAGTATAGAAAATGAAAAAAAAAATAAATAAATAGAAAATAAAATTTAAATGTTGAGAGAATCGTATCAATAATGAATATAACGAGCATGATGATAAAAAAGAAGAGAAAATATTTAAAAAACCAGTAAGCAAAATGTTCGGAGACACTGAAAATGTGAAAGTACTGATGAAATTAAAAATTATATCAATGTTGCTATATATATCATTAACAGCCTGTAAAAAATTTAGTTTGTTTAATCACAATTTTTGCAATCTAATTTCAAATTAGAGGTATTTATAAACTATAAATAAACCTCCGAGGAAGAGAAAAATCTCTCCAAAGTCTTCATTTTAGTCTAGTTTCCACAAAATTTCTAACTTCGTTCGCTTTCACAGGCGCAATTATGGCATGTGGATCATGCGTGGCATGTCACGCAGCCTGCACGCATTTGCATAATTCGGATATTAGAACGACGCCATCATAAGTGCGTAAAAATATTTAAAAAAAAAAAAATCGAGCGCTGATAGGAGCTCGTAGATGTCCCTCCGTCATCCTTGCGGAACAAAACAGGATTGACGGAAGGACGGCAAAAAGATTCGCCGCAGAGGCAACCACATTCAAGATATTCGAGCAATTTCAGCCGTAGGAATATTCATGAACGATGCTGTGGCTGCTTGCCTGTACTGTTCCGCTTCTATTCACTCTATACAGATCATCCGGTCGGGAGCTCGCTCTACATAGCAGGAGATCCGTGCAAATGAGATACCGTTGAGAATGAAAGGAGATGGTCGATGGACGATCGCTTGCCTTGAAGTGGAAAATGAGCCAAAAGAGAGAAGTAGTAACCGAGGTTAAACGGCGACATTCACGCTTCAATTATCTAAAGTGCGTAGATAAAACCGATGATATCGTGCAATTTGTCATAGAAACTGCCAATCGTTTTGAGCATTTGCTCGAGATGACGAAATAATCAGACACACGAGTGAACAGAGGACAATAATGTCCTTTTGTTTTCTTGTATACGATTTATAGTTATTCGTACAAATTTTTTGAAATATCTTGCATATATGTACATGAAAAATTTCACAACTTTTTACATTAATAAACATTATTTTATTATTATATTATTGAATCTGAATAGAAAGAATAAGATATATACAATGTCTTCTATAACAGACAGAAAGAAGGAAGGAGAAGATAGCGGTATCAAGAAATAAATTATACTGGATTATACTGGATTTTGTGGTACTTTCTAAATTCGCTACTTCAATCACTAGAGTAATATAGGAGTCTAATCCAGCCATAAAGAAAAATTCAAGGACATTTGCGCTACCACCTAAAGCTCTGAGCCTTGTTCTTGCGTAATTTATTTTACAAGTGCCTCGTCCAATTCAAGCAAAATTTTTCTTCGTGGCAAAAAGTCGAAGAAAAATAAAGAAAATCTTATTTTGTCAAGACTTCAGAATCTCGTCCGATTTTCTGACTCAGAAACGCTAACTCGCAAAGCCGAGACTTTATCGCCAAACCTCTGTAGTCGAAGACGAGAGGAAATTCGAACTGTAGCGAGCGCGAAACAATTTGCGAAATCGCGATCACCTTGAGGCTGGGAAATCGAAAACCCATGATTGCAATTTGTGCGCGCGAGCGTTGTACACATCGCGGTAACATGACTACGGACTGCTTGCATTCTCGTACGACGCCAAGTTTCTGAGTTTCGATCGCATTGCATGTCTCACCGAATTGTTTCGCATAAATCAGCGGTATTATAAATCAGTTTTATTAAATCGTTATTCTAATTTATCATCAGGTAATTGCTGATTACTGTAAAACTAATTGTATTAATAACTAAAGAAACGCTCTAATATAACAGAAATAAAATCGAAAGAGATTCAACTGTGAAGGATATAATTTTAGATTTAATGTTCGCACACAGTAAGTACGGACTCAAATTATAGCAAATGTTACAGCTTTTGTTATAATTTTAACTCCAAGTTCCTTTCTATGTATAAATTTAAAAAATGTGTAAATCGATACGCGTTGATGTGAAAAAAATTGTATCGATATTTCCATGCTGATTCAACCGAGCATGTTTAAAAAAAAAACAAACTCGAAACACAATATATTCAATTACTACAAAATTGAGATTTTTCTATATTGGAACATCAATTTCTGGTGATGCGTATTATCGTGTCTGCATTGTTTCATCTCGTCTCGTATTCATCTCGTGGTTAAATATCGATATAGTCTTTCGTACAGATTGTTTAATTTTGTTATCGTTTATTGGTCATGGTCGAACACGTATTTGATTTTTCATTAGCAGCTCTAATCGATATGTTACAAAATCTGGTTACTAGTTGCATCTATTTCAGATTCTTCTAATCCGTAAACGCGCGGTTAAAAAAGTGTAAATAATTTTAGAAATTATTTTTCTTAGAGCTATTATATTTTTAATTCTATATAATCAAGGTCTGTTAGCATCTCAAAATTTTTGTCAAACAAGAATCAATTTCCGATTCATAAATAATTCATACATAAAAAAATGCTATAATAAGCTAGTCTGTTATGAAATTTCGATATAATTCTTAGTAATTACGATTTTCACAGTATTTTGTATGAATATAATCTACATGAAAGAAAGTCATACGGCATCGATTAAGAAGAGATACAGCGATCGCGTCTGCGATCGCATTTAATAATGACTCTCACTAAAGACGTCGGCTTATGTCACGCAATCGATGCACATTCCTTTTGTTTCGCCCTCTCCTATTACGGTCACCGAGACCATCTCTCACTATTAACGAGGCAGAAGGCGCCGGTAAACAGAAGAGGGCGGCAAATGTCGGAGGTGACAGTAGTGCTAATCGGCGATTCCCCCATCCTCCCTCCTCGGGTCATCCCTTGCACCGGAAGTGTCACCGAAGGTCGGATTTACGACCGGGAACAGGTTTAGGAGGAGTCATATATTTAAGGTCGTATATTTCGGTTCCAGAACTTTTTTAGAGATTTATCGTTACAGTAATATCTATCACTGCGTTTGTGCCAAAGAAGAGAGACAAGTCTAATTTTATACGGTCCGTTTAATAATATTTAATCGCACTAAATCATTCGCTACTTTAAAATATAGATGATCGATAAATAATTATAACAAACGCGATGTCACAAAAGCATGTTATATGAGGATATTGCCTATAAAAATATTGCGTTAATTGGATGTGAATTTAATAAAAAATAAAAGTGACAATAAAAATCAAAATTTTTGAAATGTTTAAAAAATATACAAGAACGATCATAAATCGAGCGATTATTATCTCGCACGCTTTCTATATTTTCGTACACTTTTGTATTTTTTCCTTTCTTCAGATAAAATTTTGAAAAACATTTGCCTTGTCAGTGTAGATAGAAAATATATGTGACGCGAACAAATTCTATATCCGTCATCAGGACGTCATTTGTCTTCCATTAAAAGTCGGTCATTAGCTTACATACATTAATACTTTATATCTCACTCAATCAAAAACCCAGCAGCAATTTCTACCAAAAATATCAATCTAGTTTATGAAAACTGTTGTCTTTGATTGTGCTAAATATTATATTTTATTATCGTTGTGCAAGTTTAAATTTCTTATTAGCACGTCATCGATCAAAAAATATCCGTCAATGATAATTTAAAAAAAACAGAAAGATTGATTGCACGCACGCGCGCGGATAAATTTGTAAAAACAACGATGGCAAAATCGATTACGATGGTATGGATGATCTGTATGTCGCTATGCCTTTCATATACTAGCATCTATCAGTCCTGACTCGCCACCCTTGAATTTTAACATGCCAGAAACAACGATGGCAATGATGAATGCGTTGAAAAAGCACTATAAAAGACACTCGTTCACTTGACAACTTTAATAATGTGTGTGCATTCTCGTGATCGAAATAAAATTGTGAAGGACCATTTAAATGGAAATTTACGCCGTTAATAAGGTACAAAGCTTTTAGCAAACGCACAAAAAGTGCCTACCATGGCAACGAAGGGTAGATTTATGATCGCGGTAGGAAGGGTGGCTGCGCCCCGATTCGACAAAGGTTAACCGGTTCGTCTGTTTATTTTCGTTGCAGGGCGACCCATGGTTCATCCACTAAGTCAGAGTGTGACGGCAAACGAGGGTGAGCCGCTGGACATTATCGTCGAGTTCTGCGCCGAGCCGAGTTACACGAAGGTTCTCTGGATATCGGAGGAGCGCGTGTACACACCGGATGCACCCTCTCACGACGGGGTCCGAGCTCTCGCAATCGAGGTAAATTTGCATGTCTTGCTGCATCAAACATGGCTTGCATGTCTTCACAAGATTCCCTTACTCGCGTTCAAAGATTAACGTGAAATTCGGGTTACATAAATATACTTGATCTGGAATTATAGATTATTCGGCAATAGATTTACGATCCATTGAATTACAGTGCGTTATTGCATAAAAATAATTTAGTTAATAGCCAATTTTCATTTTTTCTTCGAATAAGAAAAGATTAAAAATTGTGAAATGATATTTTTGAGCGCAATAATTGTCGCATATTTGTTCATAATGCTTTTAATTGTAAATATATGTTAAATACATTTGCAATTTTGAAATGTTAATGATGAAGAAATTATAATACAAGGAATATTAGTTTAGGTATATTTATAATGTTGTTATCATCGCTGTAAATGATTGTTTATTTATCTCATAAATAACATAAAAATAAATATTTGATTACTTTTTTATCGGTATTAATTACGATGACTTAATATTTGGTCGGTTTGTTTTCCTCCGCAAAATAAATTTTTTTTTTTCATGAATCTCTGTGAGCGAGTTAACTAATATTGCATTTCCCAAGCGCGTTTCATCAGTTATATGTTTCCACTTTACAGAAGGGAAGTAATTACAAATAGTGAATATACAAAAATTGCTACTTGCAAACTTTACATGGAAAACAACAAACGCTCTGTAACAAAACTGAACAAAAAATACGTTGATTATATATTGTTTATAAATATTTATTTCTTATATTGTAGCAATATTTAACAGTTAAATGTAATGAAATATTTCTTTAAATATTTACTTTACCCATATAAAGTTTTACGCTATATCTTTCGTTGCAATATATATATATATATACAATACTCGAGATACTTAACTAATTAATATTTGTATCACAATCATAGAGATGCAATAAATTATGATTATATTATTAATTATATATTAATATACAATGTGTATCACTTTTTATTTATGAATTTGGATTTTTCACTCTACTCAAAACTGAATAAAATAGCAAAATTTTAAAAAAATACGCGATTCGACCTATTTTGAATATTCATCCAGATGATCTTTTTCTGCCAATGTCGTGCTTTTGTGCGCTACAAAAATGCTGCGCGAAGATGTGATTTGCGCGTTCGCTTCACGTGAAAATCCGTCATCTTTTGTAATGCGGACACGAATTATATTTATACATCCGTTCGGGGATTACACGCTCCCCGGAGACCCGTTTAGTCCTTTGACGCGAAAATTATGCCGCTACCCTGGTGCGGACGTTCGCGCGATATCCGAGATACTGCAACACGACTTGGCCATGGTAGGAAGAGAGAGAATGGGAGAACTATGAGAACTAGAACAGCCATGGTCGCGTTGCGTCGCGAAAACGCGCGCAAACGGAGGGAACGAGATGAGAAGGAATGCAGAGATATGGCATATAGTGACGGATATTACGGGACAGATACTACGGGAATATTATGCAAGGACCGGCTCGCGCACGAATACATACGCACGCTTATTTCATTTCCGCAGCCGGCAAACTTCTTTTTTCACGCCCGAGCGGAGACAGAATCCGCGAGATAGTTGCATCATAAAAAGGACGGATTAACCATTTTTTTTTCAGTCCCGCCGGCAGGACCGGGCGGGCGCAAACAATGCGACGGAGCTTTGCGAGGGATTTGCCGATGCACCCGATGTTGCATTTGTTTTTATTAACATTTGATCCTCTTCGCTTCGCTCGCGCAGTCTGATTTCGCGGTGCGAGTAACGACTAGCTTGGTCGATATCATTGAAAATTTCAGATTTTATTGGGAAGCGCGACGATGCGGGTAACAATACATGTGTTGTACACATTGATACACGCACAGTGCTCGTAGATATAATATTTTGGAAATACATCTTATAGATTATATGTATAGAACGTTCTCGCTCGCATTACTATCTGTAGCGGGCTTCTCAAACAACGCGTGGAAATTAAAACAAGCATCGGTGTTAGCGATCTATGTAGAAGGGAAATATAATACGTATCGTTAAAAGTGATAATTCTTTTTAGTCGTATATAGTTTTTTTTTAATCATCGAATATTGTGATAATATTATCGGATATTATTAAGACACGCGCGCTTTTTTCACGATATACTTTGAACGCAAAATATTTTCATAACACCACTTTTATACATATTGATCTTCTTTTCGCGCAAGTACTTCAACTGAAAACTGTACATATCCTACAGAGAGAGAGAGAAAGACAGATAAGTCTTCTCAAAAATTTTTGCATGATCATCAAATATTAAAAATGACTCATTTATTGCTGCATCATGAAATACGAAAACTGCAAATACATAGCAAAATTAATTGAAGCCGATAAAATATTTACATTTTTATGATCTAATTATTTAATATCAAGTGTGTGTGTATGTATATAATTATTAAGTGCGGCTTTATTGCACGCTGTTTAAACAAAAGTGAAAAAGTATTATGATTATATTATTTTACACAAAGCCATAAATATGTTTACTCTATTTCATATAGTTTATTTTTATTTTTAATTGTTATCGCGAATAATATTTTTTATATTGCAACCAGAAAGAAAAATACCATTGACTATCTATGCTTATTTTGTTTATTTAATATTATCTCTCTCGCATATTTTTGTGAATAAAATCAAATCCGAAGAAATTACAATTACATTATAACAGAAGAAATATAAGGATAAAAGCAAGAATATGTTTATATCGGAAAGGAATTTTAAAAAATCTACAAAGGCGGAAAGAGGACAGAAAATCAGAATAAATAGCGATAGGTCAAAGTAGAAGAAATCTCAAATATGTTATCAGATAAAAATAGTGAAAAGCTGAAAAATGAGAAACGAAAAATAAAAAGAACACGACAGAAACGAGATCAGAAACTCACCAAGAGAATAGGTTAATATAAGATAAAGAAACCGTTGAAAACCTCGATAGAAAAATCTCGAATAGGCAAAGAAAATAGAATATATTAGTAAAGAAATACTGAGCACAGTAGAGGCAAACGGATGACGGAATAGCACGAGAGCGAGAAAAAAAAACAAAAGTCGGAAAGAAGTTAGAATGTGTTAGCGAAGAAAGTTTGAACAAACTAGAGAGAAAGAGAGAGATGTTATATGTGTGAGAGAAGGAAGACGATGGTCAAACGAAGAAGGAGAAGGCACAAGCAAAGCCAAGATGTCATAAAGAAGGCAGAGATGGAAAAACGCACACACAGAGATAGAATGAGATGAAAGTAACAAGAAAAGAAAGGCGAGGAGAAGACGTAGCAAGCTAGACGGGAGATGATTCTCAAAGAGGGATAGAAGGAAAGGAAGTTAGAGAAGGGAGAGGATGCGGACAGAACTCGTGAATAGAGAATACAAGTAGAACGGGTCGACGGATGGGGAGCACGAGCCTCCGGATGGAAGTCGAGGAAGGAGATGGAGAAAGGCTGAAACGCGAGGTTAAATGGAGCAAGAAACTGCGACTCCTTGCATGCGAAAAACTCGCGAAGACCTTCGCGACGACGACGACGACGACGACGACGACGACGACGACGACGATGACAACGACGTCTGCTCCGAATTGCGGCGACAAAATATCACCGAGAAACAGCATTGGTCTTGTCGGTGAATGGCTCGAACCTGATTCAATTACGCAAACGTATTTCTCTTCGATTCCCGGCCGTAACCAATAAAATGGATGCGCGAGAAAAACATCTCCGTTGCTTCGATATTAAAAGAACACAATGACAAACCGTGTATATTTGATCGGAATGAACGGAGGTCTTTTATGAAGACGTTGTATATATCCTAGTGATGTTTTAGAATAAGATGGAAAGCGGAAGCGTTGCATCACGCTTGCCTCGATATCACAATAGCAGAAAAATATCAAGTATATATACAATTGTGACATTTACAATTGTTACATTTTGTATCACATACATCCAATATATTTCTCACGATTATAATTAGTAAAATATTTTTAAATGCATCTTTAGTAATAATAAAATCTACGCAATGAAAAGATGACACGATTAGCTATGAGCTAAATATGTGATAAATAAATCTTCTCAAGTTGTGCCAATAATCATCAAGAGATAACTTATTCTTTTTTTTTATCTTTCTACGAATCATTAGTATAACTTTCCTATTAGGGCCAATTATCCCATAAACCGGAAGTTCCTTGGACCTACGACCGGCTTAATACGATTGATTTTTCCATGAACAAAGAAAGGAAGTCGAAGAAAGAGGAGTCATTATAGATACTAATGCGGGAAGTAATAAAACGTATTTCAAAGAGGAGGAAAGGATCGAGAGGGTGTGTGTGTGGACTGAGGGGGAGGGAATCTCTAAGTAGATAGCTCTAAGAAGAAGGAGTCGAAAGTAAGATGGACAATTGAAGCGAGAACATGAAACGTTGCCGGAAGTTTCCAGTTTCCTCCGGCCGGAAGTTTTACGTAAAAGTTTAATCGTAAAGACATAAAGGGACACCTCTGACTCGATAAGGGGATGACTCTGCACGACTGGATGGACGTTATCGAATCGCGAGTTAATGAGCATTATGCGATAAAAATGTCTCGGTCTGGAACGTGACCTGCGGCAACCAAATCTCAGTGGTTTAAAACGCCATGAAAGCGCCATGAAAACGCTCTTCACAAAGATCCTTGCAAGCTCCGTTTCATCATCATGAATTGTAGCTGTCGTCGTTACCTCGGTTTAGTTAAAGGAAACTTTCGAAATTCTCTCTAAAGCGTCTCGACTGACATCTCCGGAGGGGGGG